GAAAGGGTGGCTGCGGGATGTGGTGATGTCCCAACCAGTGTGCGACGGGGTCTACTATAGTCTGCGTAATCCATCTTAATCCTAGTTACTGTTTCACACCGGAGTGGATTGCACGAGCCAATGGGGAAATTACCGAACCACATTGAACCACTCAGTCTTCCATAGGTTTCCCATTGTTTCAAGGTCTTCACGGCAGCTAGTTAGCTCAACGCATCACGTGCAACTTGAGAGATCCTCCCACCAACGATCAATAACACACCTTCTACATCCTTCTACTATCCAGCAGTGGAAATGTCGACCTGACAATGGCAGCTACTTTGTCACCCTACCACCGCCAGCAAGGACCGACGACGTCACTGCACACGTGACCAATTAAGCACTTCACTATGTTTCTGTAGAAAGCTATAGGTCACTAGCAGTGAAGCCACCCCACCAGTAGTGATTATTGTGCCACTATATGTGGCGTTGATGCCCAGCTTCTTGACTCGGGGGGGCGGGACGTACCGCAACTCGAAAGCTAAGGAAATCACACTTGGTATGTGTCAATCACACATGTTTGACCTTGTGACTCAGCAATTTTGTAACACCCACTTGCTAACTGGAGAACACCCACTTAGGAGTAAAATGGAACTGCTTAGGGGACAAGGGAACTTATTAGAACTTGCAAGTGGAACTGCTTAGGTGTAAAATTGTCTAAATGATTCGGACGTGTTTTGACGTTGGCAGGCCTCCGAGGAGTCACCTTGGAGACCTGCCTGCCGGTCGGTCTCCAAACCGGATGGATGGTCGGCTTTTGCTTTCCAACTGTGGGGTCTCCTCCCCACTCAGCAGTCAGAAGGACACCCACAAATCGTTTTCTTTGTTTCTTGTTGCAACATGTTGCAACCCCGCCCAGGTTCCTGCGCACCTATCGGGTCATTGCCAACTCGTTGAAGTGCCATGGCAGTTGGTTTCAGCACCAGGAAGACGACCTTTGTGCAGAAAGGAACCTGCACATGACGCACGTAACGTGGGTGTTGTCTCACCATGCGCGGTGCAAACAGGATGTTGTCGTTTTGGGACTTCAGGCGTGAAAAGAGGAAAGAATGTAGTCTCGCTTCTGCAGTGAATTGAGTTGCAGATTGGAGGAAGATCCTCTTATGAGACTAAGCGTTCAGGATGAACAGCCATGCAGCTGCAAGTCTGGAGGAACTTCATGAACGAGCACCCAAATGTTGAATTCGCAGTTAGCCTCAGACCTTGACTGCTACAACTACTTGTATACTAAGTGCGAACCGCCTTTGAAGTGCGTTTCACTTCGGCGTTTTGCGAGGCACACGCCGGTGCCTGCACAAGAGAAGATGGATATTTGGGTGAGAGCTGCAGAGGATGAGTATGAAGCTTTGGACGCCCAAAGAGACCCTTGGTCGCGCTGCGGTGCCGGTAAGATAGGGTGGGGTGAGGGGCGAGGGGGTTGAAGGGAAAAGACAAGCACAAACCAGCACCTTCATACATACTACTGTAGAAAGGATGAATACACAGGGTGTTTAATCAGCAGATTGTGATTCAAAACTTCTTAGCAGGATTTATAGACTTCGGTAGCACTTGCAATTGCTTTCATCTCAGAGACATCGAATCAATCGAATGACCTCGCTTGACTTGAGCTTTGCAAAGGACATGATGATTGACTTCGAGGACTTTGTCCAGCCACTTGTCTCTGAGTTCTTTGTCCACGGCTGCCCATGGTACAGAGATGCATGGCACAGCTTTTCACATAGGACCAGAGAGGTCTGAGAATGCTATCCGAGTCATTCACATGGAAGTGGACAACCACCTGTTTGTAGGGAAACATGGTTTGCTGACCTTGATTGTTTTGGGGAGTGTAGAAGATTATTAAATGTAGAGGGTGTAGCATCACATTGGAACAGGCCCATCAGATATTAACTAGCCCGTCAGGAACGTTCCTCGGTGTCAGCCTCTCAGCTGTTGAACATCCGCTCCGTCTCCTGAACCTTGGGGGGGGGTGGTAGTTTTAGGATGGCTAGGCGGCTAGGCCTACTAGGCGCAGGTGTGAACGATGCCAACCTTCAACAAATCCAATGATGCTCCTGGTGTGCATGGCACTTGAGGTGTTGCCCTTTCTTCTGAGCGGTTGGATCAACAGCGGGAAAGGAATCACGCCTTGAAAGGCTTTCACTCGCTGGGTTTGGCTTTCGCCACAAGCAGCTCTTACCCACTCGCGACCGCTGAAGCGACCGCTTGATACCGCTTCCAGCGCCGATCCCTCGACAGAGGTGGCAAGTACAGCTGCTGAACTCCTCGGGAACTCCCAATGCGCTGACGCCACAGAAGGTGCAAGAGCTTGCCGATGCGCTCAAGGTGCCGAGAATGCGCAGTGTTCGGAGGGTACCGAGACGGGACGAGAAGGTTGTCAAAGTGGTGAGAGGATAGATACGGTTCTTGGTGATTCTTAGTGCGTGTAAACAGTTGGCGTTCCTGTAATTCAGTGGAACGTTGCTAAATCGCTAGGATCATGAGCCTTACCGTGGCAGGCCAGGGGGGCCAAGGGGGTAATCTAGAGGACAACCTGCAGGACCCGGCGGTTGGCTAGGGGATCCGCCCCACACCAATCAGATTGGTCGAAGGCATGGGAGGCCTTGTTTTTCAGCTTGAGAAGATCCCCCCCCCAGGTCGTCGCCATGTTTCATTGGTCACTCTGCTGGATATCGAGCGAAACCCGGCGGAAGCGCCGGCGCCAAGGTGATCCAAGATATCGACGAGCAGGGCAGCTGGAAGGGCGATGTGACGGAGGCCTTGTCACAGGCAGTGACTAAGGCGGGCGGGGCGAGATCGACGCTCTAAGGTGTGAAGCAAATTGTTTTCTGAGGAGCTGGAGAGCGGTTTACACGGGCCCGCACGGGTGCGGGCTCGTGGTTGGTCGAAAAGCCGCCTACACACCTGGGCGACAGAGATCTTACAAAGGGGGGCTGATATGAAGATGCCTTCACAAGGCCACCAGGCTCCTTTAGGAGTCTCAAAAAGGAACTCTGTTGGCCTAATGCTGGCCAGTCAAGGACTGAGAGTCGGACTGCCACTGGTATGACTGGTATTTGGCCCAAGACCGCGTTGCATGGGCCACATAGGATAGCATGTCTAAGGATGTTGGACCAGGGAGGGGGGCGAAACTCATCAACACAACCATCAAACACTTCCCACACTCTTCGATTCCCTTCAACACAACCATCAACCATCAAACTCATCAACACAACACAACCATCGAGTTTCTCGAGTGTGGCAAGTCTCTTGTGAACTTGAAGGAATCGAAGAGACGAAGACCACACTCGCTGAAATTCTGGGAGTGGCACGCCAGGCTGATCTTTCCCTGCACTCCAAAAGTCATGCACAAGACCTCGCACCCAAATGGATGGCATGCACCGGTGGTGAAACTCCGAGATGAACCCCGAATCTGTGGGTCAAACCCGTTGCCGTGACGGTCGAAAAACGCTCCTGCCAGCACCACCGGGCAGGTGGCCACCAAGGCCCGCGAATTGTACCTTCCCTGCAAGGTGCGCCAGCTGGGTGAACTCTGGGGATGGGCCTCCCTTCGCAGGGAGAAAAAGGATGAAAACCGTCACACACAGATATATAACCGACCTTTACGGGGACGCGTGTGGACCACCAGTCAGGTTGGTGAGGTCTCTCCGGGTGTTTGTCTTCTTTGCCAAAACGGCTTTTTTGGTTCGAAGCGGATGGCTTTCTCATCCACAGCACGCAGCCCTGTTGAAGCATGTCATTTTCGCCGAAGTGGCATGAAGTCTATTTTTCAACGATGGCCCTTTGTTCCTATGACCGTGTGATGTTCAGGACTCTGAATCACAGTGCTCATATGGCCTTACAGTTGTTGGCACTGGAAATCAGAAGGTTGAATCATGTTGAATCGATTACGCATTACCCATATTACGCCAAAATAGATCCAAGAAGCCACAACATAGCGGATCATAGGGGACAATGCCAGGCACGGTTCTTTGCCTAGTTAGGTGCAGATGGAGGCCAACAACTGCAGAAGTGCACTCCCTGAGCCACCAAGCATGACTAACATGACCCGTAGCTTGAGTACATGTCCATCAATGTTTTTTTCACGCGTGGAAGCCAAACATAACCAACCATCTCCAAGAGGCCCTAATGTTTTCTTGCAGCAGAAGCCCCTCGCGGGTCAATCTTCCAATAGTACAATGAACCATCCCCGGCGTGCGGGCAGCATCAGTGTTTGCAGCCACTCTGTTTGTTTAGCTTGGAATAGGTACCATGTTACACCGGAGGTGGCTCGGGCAATAAGTGGAAAATAGTGGAATTGCAACGGGGCCTTTGTTTGTGTTTTTGCGGTTAAGTAAGTTTCATTGCAATTGAGGTTCTTTTCCTTTTAATTGAGGGCTCTTCATGTGACTATACCCTGCTTAAAACCACGTCCCTCTGAAAAGACGTGCATGCCATTCCACTGAACATTGAAGCCTGTGAGAGTAAAGGTTTTAGGGGAGTAACCACACACACACACACACGGACCGTCATTCGTCGCATTCTCCAGGCATTCTTTTTGTGAGCAAGCCGCGCACACACACACACACACGTGGTCAGGTCATCACGTGCTTCAGCTCCACAGCTTCACATTGACATGTGAATGAGCTTTGTTCTCACCGCAACTTCTTCAGTCTCTAGGATTCTAGAATCCACAGCTTCACACATGAATGACATTTGTTGCAGTACGAATTGAAACCTTTAACCTCGCTGTATTTACTTCTCACCAAAGCTTCATTCAACCAAATTTCTCACCAAAGCTTCATTGAAGAAGCCCCCACCAAGCTGTATTTGCTTGAGTATGAAATAAGATGAACTTGCCTCTAAAGGCCATCAAAATCCGTCACACTAACCTCACTGCATCACCAGACTTCATCTGCAAAGGGGATCTGAGGAAGTATAGCGGTTTTCCTGGGACGGTTTGCCACTAGGAGGCTTCTCAAAAAGAATCACAGTTTAGAATCTAAAAGTTTAGATTGATCACGAGTGTTTGTTTCTTTCACTTGCCAATCGTTGCCACATGCGGTCGAGCCGCTCGGCTTGAGCTCCTGAAGGCGAGAAGGGTCGTCGGACCGATTGGTTTGAATGATACGCTTAAGTGATAAACGAAGCATTGACTCTGTGGCCTTGTCTGCCTTTATGTATGCCACCCTCCAGTAGCGGGCGAGCATTGGGCTCAAGTCCATCACCTGGAAATGTGTTGGAAGCAAACTTAATGAACTGTGGTATAAACATTCCCTAGTCCCCACCTCCTTCGGGAAGAAACTTGCCAGTGAAGTGAACTTCAGGTTGTCCATCCCAGGGGTATAGGCGAACATCCCAGCGCTGGTGGTGGAAGAAGGCTTGATGCAAAAGAAATCTTGTCCTACAAGGCAAACAAAGTGGACAACAAGTTTGATGCAGTCTGAGTAAAACATTTCACTCAAGTGTGGTTTGGTTATGATTGGCCCAGTTGGAGACGACGAGAACCCCCACACTAGCAAGCCTGAAGACGAATCCACATCAGACGGTCGTTCGCAGGAATGACCATGGAGCTTCACGTCCACGATGCCTTCCTCTTCCAGCTCACGGATCAGGTCTCTGAGCGAGCACGGAGACGAGTCCGTACATTGTTTGGAGGTTTCACTCTGTATCTCCAAGACAACCTTGGACATATCGTTGCTCCACTTGGCAGGAATCACGTATTGGAATGGATCACCTCCAGACAAAACTACCAGCTTGTTGAAACACAGGTTATTTACCAGACTCATCCAGAAACTGATAAATAGAAGTTGATGCTGATCACCAAGCACAGTTCAATCGACTTGTTGAACATAAAGCCATAAAGCGTTCCTTTTCCCTTTTGCAAAGCTCTCAGTGCTAGGCCACCTTGGTCCTATGTAGCCGTAGCACACCAGACAGACATCTATCGCAAGATCAAGCCCCACTTCACCCCAAGTCTCTTAAAATAAGAGACCCATCTAATGAATTGCAAGTGGGCATCGCTTGATTGAGAACAATCAGTCTAGGGCAAAAGAAAGAATTTCATTTCTTTGCCTCTCTCGGTGTCATGCGCCTTCGGCTTAACTCAGATTTGGACAGGTGCTCCATCACACTAGTCCGAGCTGGGTGAGATTTCCACCTCAAGTGAAACCACATGAGATCACCACACCTTGTTGTGACTATAAACTAAAAACACATGTCACGTGTTTAGCACAGACCTGTTACATTGAATGCAGCTGGTGTACGCCCCACGAGCGCTCTTCAAGATATCCTTGCCAGACATGTCCGGGTGAGCCTTCTTGAGGCGTTTTTGCTCTTCATGGACAAAGTCCCAGTACATCTGCTTGAGATTCTGCTCAGGCTTTTCCTCTTCCTTGGGCTTCACAGTCTTGGTGTCTTCCACTTTGACCTTCTTCTTCTTGGGCTCTTCCTCGTCCCAGTCGCCCAAACGTCTGGTTCGATCAGAATCTGCTGGCGAGTCTTCGGAAAACTCCTCTTCAGAATCCAGCACATTGTCCTAGGCATGATTCTCCCACCAACCCGAAAACATGTCATTAGATCCCATCACTTGTTGAGTATCAATAGTCAGTTGTTGTCGAAAGGGGCAAGTCAAGTATTGAAAGGGCATAGTTTGAACGCTGAGGCCATTGCCTCCTCTTCATCTGTGCGAGGCCGGGAAGCTGCAGACTCAGGGAGACAGGTAGTTGACAGTTGAACCAACTTCAAGTGGCAATTTTTACAAAATTATACAAGATGCTTCACATGAAGCCAGGCCTTCTTTGAGGGTTTCTTTGACGATCGTGCTTTTGCTTTTGCTTTTGCTTTTGCTGGGTGTGCCTTTGCTTTCCCTTTTGCTCGTGCTTTGGGCGCCGACTTTGCTTTCGCTTGCGCACGGGTGTCCTGCTCCTGCTCCTCCTGCTCCTCTGGATCCTCGGGTGGTGTGTTGTCCCCTTCCTCCTTCTCAACCTTTTTCTTGCCTCGAGCTTTGGCTTTTGCTTTTGGGTTGGGTTCATGTGCTAAGCTTGCTTTGACGGCCTTGGCAGCAGCTGAGGCATGTTGCTTTGAACCCTTCTTTTCTTCGGACAAGTGTTTCATGGCAACACTGACTTGTTGTTTCAAATCAAATTGCTGATCCACATTCATCGTTTGTTGAGTGCTCTTTCCTGTGGATGTTGATGTGCGAAGGGGCAAGGCCTCAGGTTTGGTTTTTTCCGTTGACCCAGCAGCATGGCTTGTCGGCGAGCGATTGGGAACCTCAAGAGACATCAACCACCAAGAACCTAACCAGTGAAATGATGTCTTCAAGTCCGGGATGTCATTTAATTAAGAAAAGGGAATTCTGAGATCCACGCAATCTGATCGCGTGGGGTTTCAATCGCTCCAGGACTGTTTAGGAGCACTCCCTCCAAGTCCTAGGGTTTCTCAGGCAAATGGATGGCATGTGTGTGAGGGTCGTCTGAAGTGATGTTGGATGATCAACATAAAGTAGCAACCCCTGTCCTGCTTGAGTCCATGCTTCGCCAAGATAGATTCTAGACTCATACATGGCTCTGCCATGATTGGACACCAAACTCGTTGACACCGTTTTGAACCAGAAACACTGATGGATAGGCGTGGTCACATTTATACAATATCAGGAATCAATGGTCCAATGGAACTTTGAGCGCTGGTCATATAATATACTATATTTATATGTCACACTTAATTCAACGGCTCTAAATAGTAGCAAGTATAGTAGCAAATATAAGAAGCAGGCAGCACGACTGCGGCAGCCTCCTCCGGAGTTCTCTCGAATCATCTTCTGGACACGCTCAGCCTTGAGCCAGGTGGATTTGCCATGGGCCAACTGGAACTCTTCGTGGCTGATATCCACATCTTGGTGGGCAACCTTAGCAGAGACGAGTCATGTGCGGTGCAAGAGAACACGCTGTGATTGACCCCAGTTAGTCCAACTGATATTAATTAGTCTGTAAAACCCCTGCATGACTTTGCTCATTCGACCAAGAAACCATCCACAACTTGAACGATTGGGTAGAATGCATTTCCACCTTGGATCCATCTCGTCGTTGTGCGGAAGTCAACATCAACACTGTTCCAGGCGATCGCCCTGGCACTTTGTTTTCCACCAAGTAAGCTTCTTGAAGCTGATCCAGCGTGCTTGGCTCCGAGGTGAAAGCCGGTGGAACTGGATCCTCCTCAACCTCTGCAGGCACAATCGCCTTGTCCGTAGGACGTTCGCCCTCGCTGCAAAACCTGTGCAAAATAGTCGATTGAACTTGTTTCGCCAATGTATGTTGAAGATGCTTTCACTGATGCTAAGATACTTGCTTTAAACCACAAGAACCTATGAATACAAACACCTTGGACTGGACAAGGCTTCCAAGATCTTCCGAGTGATGTTGAAAGACCTTGGCTCTATGGTTTTTGTCAAACCAAGACACTTTCGGTCGAAGTCCAAAATGAGAGATCGCCAGTCACCTCCGTAAACTGGATGGTCAAGATACCGGGCCCTGACTTCATTTGCTAGCTCAATTCGGTACTTCTTAACGCCCTTCAGGGCGGGGTTGACGGTCAGCTTGGCCAGCTTCAGAGGAAACTCCGAGGTGTTGAGAGACTCGCTGGGCGGTGGAACTGGGTCATATTTTCGAACGTTGCCCATCAAGGATCCGCCATGTTTCCAATCCTGTAGGGTGAGTGGTCGTATAGGTCATCGCAGTCGTCCCCGTGAAAAGGAATTTCCGACACAGCATTGGTGTCCCTGCAACGCTTCACCTTTTAGTTTGGTCTCTTAGTTTAGCAGTCCTCGAATAGCAACATGGCACACGCTCTCTCTGTGTACTGGCTGACAACGTGGTCTGTGCTCAAAGACAGGCTTCGGAACTGGTGCTCTGGATTGTTGGACTTCCGCTTCAAAAGGGACATCTCCAAGTGCGCGTCATATGGGGTCAGGTTCACGATTCCAACCAAGCTTCCGGTTTTCGAGTTGTTGAGCAATGATGAGATGACCACTTCGGGCAGTTCCTCTCCACTGAGCAGTTGGGCTGTTTCCTGGACGTCTGACAAACTCCTGATCGGAGTCATGAGCACAAAAAAAACCAACAAGTGGCTGGTTTTGGCATTACACCTTGACCTGCAGTGTGAAAATGTTTGATGTTTGGGTCCCGGCAGGGTTCATGTTTTGTCAGTTGGAACTGTTCTATTTTCATGCAAATCTACAAGGTGAAGAAGTATTGATTAGTTTGGAACAGTTTTGACAATGCCAGGCCTTACGCCTTCTGATGCATGCAACGTCGACTCCTCAGATGGTACCACATACTGCGATTCTGGTGTCCAAGCCAACTGCCGACGCGTCGTCCTGTTGGCACCAATCGCGTTCCATGAGCGTCTAAATTCTAAATTGGGTTCGCATGTTCCTCAAGCTATCGGGAAACTGTATTTCAATCAAGTTGGGGACTCCATGTCATATGTTACTACACGATTTTATGATGAACACGTTTTCTGAGTACCCCATCCTTTCCATCACCAGGTGCGACTCAGCCCAAACGTTGCTCTCCCGACAACCACTCGAGAATACCAGCCATCCTGGGAAGCAAAGCCTGACCTTTTTGGCAGCTGGTGCAACAGCCATATGGATGCTGATGCTTTCTGCGTCCAGTGATTTTGCATCGAATTTGTCCTCCACTCTCCTGCGCAAAGGGGTTTACAACACAGTGTCCAAGGTATGTTGCATCATATCAGCAATGGATCTAAACAATACACAAAAACCTTGTGTTATCTTGTGTCACATCGTGAGTCATGGGCATTCATGGCAGGTTTCAACCAACAGTCCATGAACAGTCCACAAAGAGGTGTTGAGAAACGTTCCGTTAATAGCAGCAATTAAAAAAGAGATGGTTGCATTTCACAGGTTGAGAATACCCTTGGGGCCTTATTGATTTGATCCCTTCACACTCTATGTCTCACAGGCTGAGGAAACCATGATTCCTTCCCTTCGCACTCCTCCATTCCGCTCTCGCACCACTTCGACGCTCTGACAACAGCTGAGGTGCCAAGCAGAAGCAAACCGATCGTTCAGGCATGGCTGACAAAGCACGCTTAGCCAAGTCAACTGTATTGTTCAGATCCTGTGTCGTGAGTCTTCCCAGCTTCATCATGTCGAGCCAAATGATAAGGTGTCCATTGTCGTCTCTGAGCTTCGAAGTGAACTCAGGGACCAAGAGTTTGTCATAGTGTCGTATGATTCCACTTTATCGCCCACATTACATGTCCCACAACACCGTGGAATAACGGTCAGCTCAAACCTGCATTTATTTTGATTATGTGTTGGTGACTACCCCTTGACAGATCTATTGGGCTGGTGACTGGTGTAACTTGTTTTAACAACGTTTCCATGGGGCACACTTTGAGGCTAGGGGTATATTCCAGTATTTTCCAGCCTTGCTGAGTTCATCCTGAAGATCGTGTAGTGGTCCTGCTCGATGGTGACAATGCTGGCGCAAATACTGTGAGGCAAGCGAAGATCCAATCTGGTTCTCCTGGCGAAGATGGCAAACCCGGGCCATCCGGCAGGCCCGTTCCGTTTTGGACTCCTCACCAAAAAGCCGAGCTAGTTGCGCCGCGTCCCGAGCGAGAGAGAGTGCATCGGCTTGGAATTGGAACTTTGTGTGGGTGTCGTTGAGGGCGGTGATCTTCTCGTCCGCTGCCTCTGTAGTGACTAGCATATTGGTGGTGGACGCCGGTAGGTTTTCCACCCACATCGAGCATTGCTCTGGCTTGAACGCTGGGTCCATGGAGTCCAACATGTTCTTCAGCTCTTCATGGAAATCCCTGAGCCACGTCAAAGCTGCTTTTTAAATAAAGTGAGAACTTCAAGCTTGTTGGTCACCTATACTTTGGAGGCTTTGCCAAAACAACAATTAGCTTCAATCAAGCTACCCTTCGATGTAGCGGTTCAACAGCAAAGCTATTGTCTCGTTTGGAAACACAAGAAGATTCTCGGGATCTTTGAAGCGATACATCTCGTCAAGAATGTAGCCTGCCAAGCAGGACAGGTCGCACTCTTGGTTCCATCGATCTAGGCCAACTCGTAGAACCTGTGCTTTTCCCGCTGATCGACTGGTAACCTGGAACATGAATAGGATGCGTTGCAGGAAGATGTGTTGCTTCGCATCGTTGACCTCCAGAACCTCAGCCCATATCCCATCGCTGAGCTTCGGCTTCCCATTCAGGAACCATCGAGGGTGAAGGAGAGTATCGCGAGGGAAAGCTGCAAAGGGACAAGTTGCACACAATAAAGTAACATCATCCAGAATTTTATCTCGTCCAAAGCACAATTGATTAATCATCACAACCTTCCTTTTTTGGATGGCACAGTAAGTCTACAGTCCAACACCCCTTTTGTTTGTTGGCGCCTGAATTCTCAAAGCGGTTGGCGTGAAGATGTTTGCAGATCAATGCCCATGCTTCTTTGCATACACCCACCTGCACTCAGTGGACCAGTGGTTTCCCATGAGCATGAATCGTAGTAGCTGGAATATTCACCCCTCTTAGCTTCATTATTGCACCCAGACCCCAAACAAACAAAGAAATTATCAAAGTTTGAGCTTGCCTTGAAGCCAAACATCTGGTTCGATTGGTTCTTATCGATTCGCATCTTTGCATGCAATCCTGCCAGGCCGTAGGAGTTATACTCTGCGATTGCGGCGTCCCAGGCTGTGCGATACCCAGTGTCGCTCGATGAGAGTCCCTGCTCCTTCAGCTGGGTTTCTTTTCAAAAAGGGAAGACGAAACCCTGGCACAAGAATTAGCTAACCTAATTACGAAACCTAATTACGGTCCAACAAAAATCATCATTAGCTGGTTTCTTTTAGGACCATCATCGAAACCCTAAAACAGAATATCCACAGCGCAGCAGATTCTCCTGTGCAATCTTCTCAGCTCTGTGATGGAACGTCAGACAAAGCTGCAGGATAGATTTTTTTCTGTCTCTCTGCTTGCACATCACTCGTTTGAATTCTGCGCCAAATATAGTGTTGTGGGTCCTCCTGCTTGATGTACACGCAGTCAACCACGCATGCCGTTTTGACCCACCTCCAGGGGCTTGACTCGACCAAAAAAGGTTTACAGTAGTCGCTGAATTTGTTTGACCATTCCTTCAAAGAGTGATTTTCCAGACATTAAGTGTGTGTGTGTGTGCTCACATGTGTTGGCTTTAAACACCAGAAAACATGTCCATTTTTTAGTGAGGAAAGTATTGTATCTATGATCATGAACCCTGCCAAGGTTTACGTCTTTGGGATAATCCGCATCACCTTTGGGAAGTCCAAGTTTCAGATTTTTGCGAGGCGACGATGGCGGTGCCACCATCACCTTTGCAGGATACCCGCGTACCGCCCCCCAGCCAGGACCCATCACCTTTGTCATTTTGGGATTGTCACAGGACCATGGAGAATCTAGGGCCAATAATTAATTAGCAACCCCCAAGATATTCTATTAGCCTGAGGGGCAAAGACTCTATCATGTGCGGGGCGACGGTGGCAGTGCCACCATCACCTTTGAAATTTTTGAAACTTGGAAGTTCCAAAGGCGATGCGAAATATCTTGGGGGCACCTCTTCATGTCTTCCAGTTCCTCTGCGTTCATTGTGGTCTTGAGGCTGAGGTAGGAGTAGAAAAAGGAGAACAGCACAATGCTCATTCGTCCAATTCCCTTCACCGCTTCGAGGCAGGCAAAGGTCATGGGAGAGCCAGCTGAAGCTCCATCAGCTGGTCTGAACTCCACGCTCTCACGAAAGCCCTCGTACCCAAGCCCCCCAAATGCTAGTGGCAGTAGAGATCCAGTCTCCCAGCATCGGGAGACCATCTGCTGGCAAGACTGCCTTGAAGCACAAGGCCGGAATCTTCATGCTGTTTTGCACGGCAGTGTCCTGCATACCAAACATTGGTGGGTCCCAACCACTTGGTTTATGATTTCACCCAATGACACCCGCACAGCCAGGAACATGTTTCCAAAAAAAGCGGTCCGGAACGATGATGTCGGCTGGACTAGGCAATGCTTCCCCCAATACCTCTTCCAACCATAACCGCAAACTCTCATAGAGATCAGGAGTGGCCTTTTCCAGAAGCCATGCGACTGGATGTTCATCTTTCTCAGGGTCGAAGTTCCTCAGGTCGTAAAGGTGAAGGGTGCCAATGGTGAGGTTGTCCCAAACTATTGGAATCACTGGGACGGGGACATGAAACTTTTTGACATGAATTCATGCAAGAATCGCCACCGATTGGCACATCTTTGTGCTCCACGGGCCGAGGCTCGTTTTCTGCAGTTTCGCCGATGGAGGCGTGGCCGACGCATTGGCACGCTTACCCATGGGTGATCTACAGACCACAAACCCTTCACTAACCCCACTAGTGAAAAGCCAAAAACCTTAGGATCAACTGATCGCCACAGACCCCCACACGCACAGTTTCAACCAACCAATTGCAGAAACCTTTTGGTAGCTTAGCTCACTCTTGTTTTTTTCAATGTCCAACGATGAACAGTAGCCATACTTTTGCAGATTGGAATCTTGCACTCCAATCGAAAATCATTGAATGAATTGCACTGTGCATTCAAATTGGGTTCATGGGGCTAGGAGAGGCCAAGGATCGCGGCCAATACGAACACTCCCATTGTGGGGCAGTTCATACCATTCCCTGCCATTTTGACCTGCTGTGTGCGGCAGGTACGGGAAACCTGGAGCTGCGGCGATCCAGAGAGCTTTGCGTGGCGACTGCTCACTGGAAGGCAGTGGGTGGCAAACAACTCCTCTGGTGTGATCACCCTCTGAGCAACCTTTCAGGGAATTGAAAAACACAGGACACGATTGTCCAAAAGTACTCTGACAGTAACACTAGACTAGTTCATTTCATTTCGTCGGGGACAGCCTTTGAGTACAGGTGGCCAGTGTTTGTCGTCAGCGTCATCAATGCCCCATCCTGACACTCTGTCCTTCCCCGATCAGTTCGGACAAGTTGATTGAGATCACACACCTCCCAATGCTCGCGAGAGAACTTGGAGCTGTCCATATAGTCACGCAGGTTCCTCGCCTCAGAACACGTCAGAGTATCATAGCCAAACAACCTAATGTTCAGACCTTACCAGAGGGGACATGGGTTCATCCACATCCATCCAAAAAACATCAAAATTGTAGGGTCCTTACTCAGCTGAAGGTCAGAACCAGGAGCCAATGGCTTGGGGATCGGGCTCAAGAAAAAGAAGTCCGAAGCTTTCATCACAGGTTGTGCCCTCAAGCCCATCAGAACATCCTTAAACGGAAAGTCCTCATCCCAGGCCACGTACTTCTTGTTGTAGAGGACTGCGTACACACGTGGCCTTGCGCATCCGAATCCCCACAAACGAGGATCGATTTTCGCCACCTCACATCCCCACTCAGAGTCGGGGCCAAGATAGTGGTTCTTGTAGCTAGCTACATCGTATTCGCTCACGTTTTCCACAATGTGAATCTCCGCAGCATGCTGGGCTTGGGTCCAATACCTCTCATGAACTGCGAATTTTGGATCCTTCTCCTTGCGTTGAAGCCCCATTTTGCTGTAGGGTTGGCAAGGTGCTCCTAACGGGGATGGAGGTTGCAATGGTTCCCTCTAAAAGAACTACCGATTGTCCACAAACTCTGGTTTTCTTAACATTCCTTGAACTTTGAACCCGCAGCCCCGCACAGCTCCTAGGATTTGGACTCGATGTCCTGAGATTGACAGTCAGAATAGAAAAGTCTTAATTGTATCGATACCTAAAAAACAATCAACATTCATCCATCGACTGTGTTTGGCTGAGGATCGTTTAGATTGACGTGGCACATCACACTTGCACATGCGCTGGTGCTTCAAACACCAAAGCTCTGTTTTGGATGGAAGGTCAAACTCCATGACATCTCCAAACAAACATGAGTTGTACGTCGATTGCAGTACGGTCTGACAGTGTTCATCCTTTTCGCAGGCCCACAAGATGCGAGCGCACGGCGCCACAGAGTGTGGGATCTCCTTCTTCACTGCGGACTGGAGGGAAAGCAAGGCCTCAACCAATTCAATGGAAACTCATACAGATATTAGTTTTAGATGATCCTCCCTAAGGCCCAGTCTGTTTCAGCACAGCCCACCCCGGAGAACAAAGTAGTGCAGTTCCACCGCCACTGCTTGAGTTTTCGCAAGACCTTGGCCCGACCAAAGTGCGCATACAAGCGCTTCAAGAACGCTCCAGCCCATTGAAAGGTCTCATCGATATTCTGTGGTCCAAGAGGTGCGTCAGAATCGGCTACAGGCACATTGGTCTTTGGGTAGTACCTGCACATTCGTGACAAGACCCTGATCCGACATATATGTTACATGGTTACATGTTTCCCTCCATTGCCCCTCATCGGAGCCTCATCCTGCATGTCTTCTGGACTTTGGGCTTGAGCTTGTCCTTCCGCACAGTCCTACGCAGGAAAGACATCAACGGATTCCCTTTCTTCAATCCAGTCCTCTGAGGTTTCTGCACCGCTTTCAGCGCCAATTTCACAGCCTCCCGCACATTGGGTGGACTCCTCAGAATCAGAAGTCTTTGCACTACAAGTCCACTGCGTTTTCAACAATTGAACTTGCAAAACACCAGTTGCATGACAAGACTCTTCATTTTCGGAGGGGCCCAGTACCAAACAGCCAACGGATTTGTTTGTCGACTGATCCAAAAAACAGCTAGTTAGTGCGGAAGAATTCCTGTTTGAACTGGATCCTTGACTAATCTCAATCACAATTTAGGCACTTCTGCACTTTTTTGCCGAGCGTGTGTTCAGAAACACAGCAGACTAGTTCAAGTAGCCTCCTTTAGCTTACTCGAGTATTTCGACTTCACGGTCAGCATTCAATGCACACAATTTGGCTACCCCCTCCAATGCAGATGAAGCCAAGTCCATCATTTTATGGACTGGGTTACTGCTTCTGCTCAGGATTGTGTGGGCCTGCCGTGAGAGCTGTGAGAGTGATGAACTAGATGCTACGCTGACACAAGAAGAACACTGGCAAGAGACCTCCAAGAGCTTTTGTTGTGCAAGCAAATTGATCAGGAAGCCCTGGCAAAACAACTGACTCTAAACGTGTACCTAAGAATCCACTCAAGGTAGTGCACCTTGCTGTGTCCAGCATTTGCCGGCTCACCCTGCATACCCTGCGGGAAAGAAACAGGACCGGTGTTGCGCCACAGTGAAAAGAAAACAAATTGCTGCCTGGCGATCTGGGAGAGGAGACACATAGAAAGGAGAAGAAGGGACCTCGTGCACTGTTCAAAATGTCGTTTATAAGTTTCATAGGCAGGTACTGAAGCTACGGAAGAGGCCTGGCTATCAGGAATTTCTTCCCACCAAGTTAGCTTGGGAGGCGTGCCCTGGTGTGGCACCATGTCCTGCGGGCAAGGTCAAAAAAACTCTAGAACTAAATGTTACGTCACATTAGATTCATTAGATCCGTTCCCAGTAGTCCCACAGTTTTGGCTCCTTCCCATCGAAAAGTCTGCGCTTGCAAACGTCCGGGGTGCAAATATGGTCACTGGAGCGCAAGCGTTTCAAAGATGGACCATCAGTCCTGCGACGAGCGCGTTCTACTTACTCCTACTGATCGTCTTAAAGACAACAGTCCTGTTAGTTTGTTCTGGACAGTGTTCTGGACTTGTCATTGCTGCACCCGGGTTTGATCAGCTCGCAGCTGAGCAAAAAGCTACACATTAAAACCACAAACAGGTTCAGATTCACCAAAGAGTGAGAAACATAGCAGCAGCAGAATTTAGTTTTCTCTAACCCCTGCGAGACAATCTGGCAACAAATTGCATTTGTGGGATCATCCTGCCCATGGCAAGCCCACCCATATCAAGATCGATCAAGGCATCGAACTCGCCTCGATCCCTCGAACTGATCCACGGAAAGGCTGGCACCGACGGTGGTTGCGCAGCAGGATTACACAAATCGAGCAAGTACCGCACAGTCCGACCAGTACTTTCATTGGCATTCATCTTCAAAAGCAAGGTCGCTAGCTGAAGAAGCTTTTGTCTCCGGTCTGTGTCAAACAGTTTCCACGGTCTTGGAACCTGAGGCACGCTCCCCAAGCGTTCCATGAACTGGGTAGGAAAGACCAGCAAAGGCTCCTGAAAACAAAACTGACGCAAAGAGCTCAAACTTTGTTGCGTGGACATTCTCCTGGCTCAGGCCATCATTTGCAGCAAACCGCTTCACGCAGCATATGATATCGTTTGATGATTCCGCATATCTGTGCTTTCCAGGGCCAGACGCAATGATGTTCGTGTTCCCCGGGATGTCTGACGCAGGAAAACACTCAAAGCAACACTCAAAACAATGGTTCATTGATGTTCATTGAAACTCCAAAGAAGCCACAAATCAACGGAAACTGTCACTGTCAGGCCTTTGCGTCGCATGAATATGAACGCATGGGCTCCTGTGCAGTCGTCCCGTAGGCCGCCCGCAAATGTAACAGGCAGAGTGTCAAACCTGAGTGCGAACCAGAGTGTTTGCCATCTAAACTCTCTTTAGGACGGACTGTGCAACAAAGAAACCAGGCTTTCCAGTTCCTGCTCGTTTTCAGTTCTTCCACCAAGACTTCACAGTCACTCCCGAGCCAACTCGCAAGGTTGATCTTGTTGCACAAGTATTTCACTTTCCTGACAGGTATTTGTAACTTGAAGGAAAAAACATGTCTGAACCATTTGTTGAAGCTTCACTATCACGACAGCCAAAATTCTGGACGATGTCAGATGGGTCTGACAAGCAATCCACCCAGCGCATAGCCCTTGATAGCAGCCCGTAGCATTGGTCTCAGTCAGCGGCTATTGTGTGGACATGTAATTGCAAGGGGGCACACCATCAATTACCTTTTTTTGCAGTCAAACCACCCAGGGCACCGTGGGTATGTCCAACGCGGTGAAAGAAAAGACCACTTAAGGTCAATCCTTTCTGCAAGATCAGCCATGATAATAGGCATATCAATGTCCGGTTTTTGTTTTCCCTTACGCAATTGTCTGCCTCAGTTTTGACCCACTTGAGCACCGGAAACTAGAAGGACAAACAAAAGCAATCTGCCATTCAAACAGTACTGCAAAACACTGAGCAAATCCTGACAAAGTGCCCATATCAATACTTTACGCGGCATCTTGTCTCCCAAACGGTTCTTCACTGCTTCGAGGGTTTTGCAAACAGATTCTGCTACCATTGTGGCATCGCTTGGCTGTCGAACTTCAACCACATGCAAAAAGAGGCAGACTTTGTGACACCAACAGCCTTGGAGTTTGACTCTAGGCCGCTCCAATGATTGCATTGCCTTCGGAGCGACCCCGTGCCTCATTCTGGGCAAGCTCCACTTGCTCTGATCCATGCCGTCCTTGCAACGTGCTGTATGAGGAGGCTGCAAGTCTATGACTTGAATCTTTCTGGGTTCAACGCTAACTGAGTGCTGTCAAAGCTCGATTGTCAGGAGTAGCGTGTCGTGACTGTCCTCCCGAGGGTTCATCGCCTGAAGAAAATGTCTCACGCACAAGGCTAAAGCCACACACTTTAAATTACCCATGTTCACAAACCGTCTCTGAACTTGAACCTTCTAGCAAGCCTGGAAAAAGGACTCACACCGTCGGTCAGCTGCCACAGCGTCCAGATGCGTTTTGTAGCTTCTGGAAATCGTGAATCGATCAACTGGATCCTCACAGTTGCGATGATGTGCAACCATGGTCAAACAAACAAGTGTCACTCACTACACAGCAAGTAACAACTGCTGCAAAGATTCTGTACTGTTTTCGAAGGCTTCTTTGAACGCGCAACAGTCGTCGCACTCAGGAAACCCGGAAGGGCATGAAAATCGAATCAAATTCTTCCATTTGGTCTGGTATCTTCGAGCAAAGTGCCCATACCTAAGACAGGTTTTGAATCTACAACATTCAGTGATTCAGAAGTCCGCCCTGTTCGACAAGAAACGATACCTCGAATCCGCATTGGGCATGAAGAAGCTTCAAGTTCCCCGGTGGCAAGAAGCGCGTTGGAAGCTTCTCAGGGTTTTGCCCCCAATTGGTATCCACAATCCTTTGAATCAATCAAATCACATTCAACATACACCCTGGAGACTGTTACATTGATCAAACTTTACAAATCTAAGGCATCTTCTGGGTCCACAAGGCATTGAAGCCTAGGACGTGCAACTTGAGTTCCAGGTCGCACTCTATGGGCTCGGCTGGAGCATCCCAAGCAGGCTCAATCCCAAAGCGGTCATCAAATCCTAAACAAACATTTCATCAAACTCATAAGTCTTCTAAATCAAACAGATTCAGATAGTATTGCAATCTAGTTTCTATCATCATCTGGTTCTGTAGGGGCCGTCACAGTGAAAGTGATCTGAAGCTGACTGGAAGTGCTCTCTCGGGAACGCGCAGCTCTCTTAAACCTGAATTGCTAAGAATTAAAGCTGCAACAAGACAACAAACTACAGCCCAAACATCACCAAACAAGTTACCTATCTGGGAGCATGCCCCCCGCTCCGATATACAGGTCCAAGAAGTACTTGTCAAGCTTCATGTGCTTCAACGGTGTTCTTTTGTGAACCTTAGGCACTAGTGACAAGCGTGGGGTGTGCAAAATGGACCCTCTTACCTTGATACAGGTAACTGGCCCGAAACATGCATAGCGCCGGTCGAGATGTCCGCTGCCAGCAGTCAGGAAGCGGCCAGAGCGAATCCCAAGCAATGTTGCCAAACACTTTGGGGATACAGTTTGCTGCAAGAGCTGCCAAGTACGGTTTCCCTTTGGAACAGCACCCACCACATCAAGGATCTTAGCACGGCGGTCAAAATGACAAACGTGTGATGAGAGGTTTGCTGAGTAAACCGAATGCAATCACACTGAGGATGTCACATATGCATCCTGTGAAGGCTTCTCCAACGACCAGAACGTTTCTAGAAACACATGGAGCGATTCAAGGTTGCTCTGGAAATTCTCAAAGCAGGTACTTCGATGGCATCTGCAAACACTGGCACAAAGTCTGGTCAATCTTGATTTGTTTCGACCATTGGTAGCATGCCTCAACAAAAGGGACCATAAATTGACAACCTCTTCCTACAATTTTGACCACATAAAGTACAAAACAAATAACCCAAAACTCCTTTCATACCAAGCAGGTTTCTTGAACCTAATCCGTGGATTCGCCATGAGCTTTCGTTTCGAGCTATCATAGTTGGGACGCTTGCGTGCAAGGACAGGAGCCTTCACATAGGATCTCAAAGCGGCCGCCTTGAATCTCAAAAGCCCCGGCAGGTCAAAGTGAACCACCGAACGGACCATATGGCTTTCCACATGGCTTTCTGCTCCCCCTGGAGCAGACCCCCCCCGAATCCCGAAGCAATCTTCGGAAAAACAGACGTCGTTCAGACATCTTCAGCCAAACGGCTGTAGTTCAAACAGCCAAGGTTAAGGATCTTTAGATCCAAATTTTTGACACCCAAATAAAACGAAAAGACCTTCAAATGTTACGAAATTGACTTGGTTGTAGTTGCCAATGTGTTGCATCCGTATATCCTACTTTACTGCTGGACAGCTATGGTCTTGATGTTGTATGCGTTGCCTCTTGTGCTGCTGAAGGATCAGCTGCGAAGGCATTTGGAGGATATGGAGAACGAGAATCAGCAGGAGCAAGTTGAGACACACGTGATTTCACCCTAAGTGTGGCAGTCTTGAGCCGAAACAGTTCCAAACGGACCTACAGGAGCCGCCAGACAGTTGTTGGATGTTGTGGGCGAAAGTGTCCGGGCCGGAGCGGTGATGTCCTGATGCAATCCGGTGATGTCCAGGAGGAGGAGCATGACATGAAAGATTTCTACTGGCACAGCCCAGGGCAAGAGGCATTGGATCGACTAAGACGAGAGCCTTGCATCGATCGAATGAGTGCCGTTCTGTTGGGCCTTTTTTTGGAAAGCGGAAGGGGGTGGAGCACGTTGGGGTTTTTGGAGCGTTGTCATAGTCTGGTTGGTGAAAACAAACGGCTCTTTACTTTTCGACCCTAATTGGGAATGACTACCCCAGTTGACTACATTTTTGGGAAGGGCTTAAGCCGCCATCCAGTAGTGATGTTGGCTAGACCATGTTCAGTTGATTCGATTTTTGTTGAGTCATGGCCCCCCCAAACATTTCACTATTACTTGCCCAGTAGTAGTGGGCAAGTTCTTCCTACTAGTCTTACAAGTCTTTCGCAACCAGGTAGCGGATCGTGACGCTTTTGTCAGCCTGATTGGGAGACCTGGGGACAAACGTTCTGCTCCAAGAGAGCCCCACAGATCCAGTGAAGCCAGATGAAGGGTTTGGTTCACATAGCTCCTTCTCTCTGGAAGAGAGGAACTCGCCTGGCCCAGAAGCTTTCCAGCTACCTGCGTCACAGACCCACGTGCTGAGGATTGTGCCATCGACCTGGGTGTGCTGCTGCCTGGGGTGATGCCCCACAAGGCCTCCAAGGTGGGAGTGATCCAAAGCACGAACAGACCCTCCATGACCCTCCCAAACCATCTAGAGGGATCTCCAAGACATACCAAGACCAATGGTTTGCGGAGTCAATTTGCCTCCCACAGGTTGGTGGACCATAGTGGACCATATTCAGGAAGTCCTTGAGAGTGTGCCACCTTGCTGCCTTCAACATAGCAGGAACTTGATCATAGAAGATCATAGAACATTATGTTCAAAGCCTCCTAGAAACCGGTTGCTGCCACCCAAAGTCTTGAACACTCCACGTTGTCCATTGGTATTAATATCATGGACTGCTTTCAAGTGGTCAATGAAAGTGAACCTCTTCCCTATACCGCTCTTTCTTTCTTTCCGAAACCGCCGGACCAGGCGCGCACGGCCGAACCCCGGCGACAGTCGCGCCGACGTCCCGTCGCGCCGACCATCGGGGTCCCGCGCATGTATCCCGAGGAGGCGCAGCGCGGACCGAAGAAGAGCGAGGTGTGGAACGTCGCGCGGCGCAACTCCCACCTCAAGCAGCGTGGCTCGGGTCCGCAGAAAATCGGTCGGCGGTGGAGCCTTGGGAGAACGGTGGGAGAGCATGGGGGGGGGCTTGGCAAATATCGAGATTGGACTGAGGGGTTGGTCTAGGTCAGGTCGGGTGCACTTGTCACTTTACTGCCCCATGTTGATGGGTAAATTGGTTTATGTCATACTGCATCCTGAACTCCATTCAAAGGATTCCAGTCGAGCTGTGCCACGAAGCAGAGATTCCGCAGCAGAAGAGCTCAAGCATCGGCTCAAAAAGGCGCTTCGCTTTGAGCATCATGACCATGGCAACGATGACCAAGAAGACCACGCAGCTAGGCACCAACGATGGTGTTTTTGATGTCTCCAATGGAAGCGATTCCAACCAAGAAAAAGTCCACTCGCCTGGGAGGTTTCACCAGCTTTGGCTTCAAGTCCCCAGCTGTGGATGATTGGGTAAGAGGTTGACAAAGAAAGATCCCAGGGTGGGCACATGCGGGCACCTCTTCACAACATCACGACACACATTAAAATTGAGGATCGAAGCTGCGAATTGATTTTTTCGTTGGGGCACTGACTGGAGAGGCACTGGTGTGGACTATACAAATGAATTTGTGATTGTTGGTGATTCCGATTGTATATCTATCCGATTCATGAAGCATTGCCTGTGCAACCCTGATGACATTCAATGCCAGTGAAGGAGGTTGAAGGAGAAAGATCCTTTGAGACCCTTGTTGGCTTTTGGCATTGGGTGCACACCCTGCCCTGCAGAAGATCCTCATCAATCCACAGTCATTTATCTATCTATCTATCTATCTATCTATCTATCTATTTGTTTTTTCGTTTGTTGGGTCACTTGGGGTTCAATGGTTGTTGAGTGGCCCAAAGTTCCTACCTCAGAAAAGATGGGGACAACACCGAGCAACAGGATGTTTGGAAGATGCAAGGCCCACTTGATGGTCCAGGCTTGGCAACACCGTGAAGAATGGTCAAGAAGCAAACTCCACCTGAAGCTCAATATCCATAAGGAAGGGTCTTCTTATGAGGAAGCATGGTAGGTAGAATAGGGCCCTTAAAGGCTCTTCAGCCTTTTCATCAGATCCATTCCTTCCACATCTCAGGAAGGGCCTTCTTCTCGTGAAATTGGCCATGGCCCTGGGAGCCTTGCGGTTCCTCTCCTTCGTCGCGGAGACGTCCTTCGTGGGTGCCGGGTCCGGCGTGAGCCCCGTGAGCCGAGTGGCCTTGAGAGCTGAAGAGAAGGAGGGAGATGGAAAGGAAGACACTTGGGTGCTGAGAAGGTGGGGCCGGATGTGCCAAAACCTGGACCCTCAAAGTCTAGTCCAACCTGCAAAGCCTTGGAAAAAAATGTGCCAAGTCTGATTCTGGTCATGGAAAACACCCTGTGGGTCTCCCGGTTTTGACCGGTGTAGTGCGGGTGTTGGAACCACTTCTGAGGAGTGTGGCTGGGGTGTTCTCAAGTTGCCAACAAACCCAGTGGGTGGGGATGGCATTGGATGGGGAATCTGGAGTTATGAGCGATGTGGAAGAAGCATCGGCACTGTTGATGCATGGGTCATGTGGTCAACCAAGCCAGCACAAGTAAATAACAAGAACACATGATGCAGCGAGCTCCTTTCAGCTGCAAATGGAAACATCATTGTCACAGCCAAGGGCGGACTGCTCTTCAAAGAATCCACCATACTCATAAAAAGCCCCGGGGTGGTTGGGCATTCATACAGCCAATTTTACATCCCTCAACGTACATGAAGCTTGTGGCATTTATCATGACAATGCCCAGTGACTCCCTTTGGTAGAAGATAAGCTATTTATGTTCACCCCTTACTTGCGTGGCTCGAACAAAAATTGCGGAGCGACTGCAGACTGCAGTACAGAGATCCGACCTCGTCCAGCAGTTGGGTGAGATGATCCAGACCAGTAGACCGTCCAGTAGGGGGGGGGTTAGACCCCTCTGAACTAAGTGGATCGTTTCGTTCATGTTGCAGGCTCGACCCATCTCGACCCCCACCCAGGAAGGGATGCTCGATTTCCTGAAGGTAGAACAGGTGCCTTTGGGGGCGGCTGGGATCTGCGGCTGAGTGCTCACAGAGATGGAAGTGCAGTGAGGGGGTTGAAGTCGAAGCATGTCGAAACCCAAGACTTCACGGCCCGAAGTGATGACGATTCGATTTTTTCTTTGGAGGGAGAAATTGATCGGGAGTGACAGGGGTGATCCATTTCTTAGTTAAAGAAGGGCTTTCCACTTGGAATTGTGCCACCGCACCGAATTCTACAAGAGCTGTGAAAAGGAGCTTTTCTTGGCACATGCATGCGAAGAACCACCAGACTCATGAAACAAGATGCTACTTGCACCCTTGCAAGCACCCTTTGTTACTTGGGCAGGAAGAAGACGGCTGTCGACACCGGCTCTCGCTCGCTCCCAAACGCCTACGGCCCTCGTTCGGACATCGGGCAGGACATCGAACTCTCGCCTGATGAGTACAAGATGGCTTTGGAACAGGAGATTGAGACTCAAAGAAAGAGCCTAGCCTCCAAACGCAATGTCCAGCTTTGTTTAGAGTATGAAATGTCATGAAATGCCCATCGTCGTCCATCCCATTCCTCCTACTGAATCCCACCCAAAAAGTTGAACCCTGATGCTTGCCCGATCCTCTTGCAAAGTTCAAAGTTTCGTGCCACTAACCACTTCAGACAAAACAAGGCATGTTGATTTCCCCCCCGTGACATCACCCCCTATCACGTCGCCCCACGTGATCCGACCGTCACGGTTTGATGCCCCAGTCCCAGACTCACCACGGGCTGGCCCGCCTTATCCGGCACGCCCCACCACCGGTGACGTGACACCGTCGCTTGAGGAAGTACTACATCGGAGGAAAGGTGAACCCGAAGAACTTGGTCGTGCCGTGGAGGACCGGGTCTTCGCCGGGGACGAACTGGGCCCAGACTCGAACATCGTGCGGTCGGTGGTGCGGTCGGAGGGCGGTGGGGGGGAAGAAAGACAAACACCCCATGCGGTGGTGTCTTGAAAGCTGAAAGAAGGCCCGCTAGTTTGAGGAGCGTTGTTTTTGCAGTCCATGTTTTGCTTGAACATGAATGTTGGAGAGTTGTTGGCAATCTTGCATAGTAAGGCATAGTAAGAACAGTTAGTGACGAAGGACTGGGTGCTCTGAAAACTGGCCCCACCTCACGTGCACTTGTTTTGAAAGTTCAAGATGTGCAAAGTAAGGAGAGTCGGTATCTTCAAGTGTTGTATTTGATATGTGGTCGTCGGCGTTCTTAGTAATAGTATAAGTTATAAGATCCCCAACAATATTCGCCAGGGATTCCGTAGACAATGCTAACACCTGACCCCTCCAGGGGAATATCACGGGGGAATGCTATAAGAATATGTTTTCGGTGCACATGACAGGATCAAACACCCCCTTTGCAGCGTTCGGATCAGCCCGCCGAAGTCAGACATGTCACATGAGGGACACGTGAGTTCGTTGGGTTGATCCCAAGGCAGAAAAGGGATGTGAGCCTGACAAATTGCCAGCAGCAAGCAAAAAGGTTTGGCAAGATGCCAGGTACCACCAATCCAGCTGGCCACATGTGACCGATCCAGCTGAGGTCTCCCCCCCAACGACCCTGGATCGTCCCTATTTGGACCCACAAAGACTCTACCCGTGACCGTCCGTCCACCCGGCCGCCGGGCGTCCGTCCGCCGGACCCGGCGGACGTGTCCGGAAAGGCCCGTGGATGAGAAGCAGTTGGAGAAGGATGCCTCTCAGCTGGAGCATCCGTGACCTGCGGGCGTGGAGGAACGTGGCTTTTTCGTTCGAGCCGAGCTCCATGGGCGGAAAACTGGGCCTAAGCTGGCACTGGTGAGGCGAAAAGTTGTTTTGGGATTTCTTGGGATATCCTATAGGTTCAAGACACATGTATTATGATGTATTATGCTTCCGTGTATTGATGAGTCATGCTCCCATGGAGGTGCAACCTTTGTCATGAGACACTTGCCTCAACCATCATAAGTCCTAGACCCGAATTCACAACCAAACACACCTTTGCATGGAGGCTTCATGTTCATGTGTTGTTTCATCTCACTTGGGAGTGGGAGTATTTTTTTTTGTTTTGAATTCCTGGCTTAGCCAGGCACCTGTGCCTCGATCGATCGATGCAAGGCCCGACGGACGCTGAAGAAGAATGGCATCAAGGACCCAAGTGGACAGGATGTCGACATGGAGTGGCTTGCTCCGAGTCGGGGAGGAAGTCGAGGACACAAGAACGGCAGGGGATGGGTTGGGAGAAATCATCAGAAATGACGAGAAATGAAGAGAAGACGAGAAATGTATAGAAATGTCAAAGACTTTTGTTAGTTGGCCAGAACAAGCCAGAACTGTTTTTGACATTCAACAATTCTTGAATGAAGAGGTCTTTGAGCCAGATGTAGGGACACCACCTGGTTCCACCGTGTTTTATGATTCCACACCCGCAAAGGCCAAAAGTCATGACATCAAATGCTCAGGCATTTGCTGCATGACGGTAGTGCATGAAAAAGACTTGTTGATGTCCCGATATGCAAAGAAGTTCATCGACTGGTGGGGTTTGACGCTTTGTGCACTTCCATCCCCACGAGAAGTCCAAAATCACCCGATATTTTGATATATCTTTTGGGGTGCAATACCATGCAATCCCCATCACCGCCCCCCCAGCCCCAAAGCAAGTGGTGCTGGTGCTGGCCGGGATGCTGCTGAAGGATTGCTTATATTATATATAAAGGCGACTCTGGAGAGTGGTCATGCAGGAAACAACTGGAAATTGTTGATTCCTGTGCGGGTGGGCTAGAGCCAGATGGTTATTTGCAGCTACATGCTTTCTTTCGCCGGACTTCAACTGTTTGCCAACCTTCCTACTTCTCCACCTGCTGGTTGACTGACACCCAACAGGGGCAGAACAGTCTCGCTTCGGAGTCTTGCTAACTCATCACCAGAACTCACGAGTTCCATGGGGATCGACTTTCCACCCTGCCCTCACTAGGTATGAAGATAGTGAGATCGAGCTGAGTAGCTCGGATGCGATGGGGTGTCCAGGGTCAGCACAGGGGCGTCCAGTGTCAGCACGGGTTGAAGAGACAGATGAGATGGGCTGTCAATGGCCTGAATCAATTGATGGATGCAGTTTGGATGGATGGAATGGTATTCTTGCGGCCGGAGGTGCAGGGGATGAATGGTAATAGAAGACACGGCCGCCAGGCTGTTTCACAGGAACTACTGACGTATAATGCGCACACGGGATTAAGTAACCTCTCCTCATTATTCAAGCCCAGCTGGAGCCTCCAATACTAAACTAATTTAAAACCTGGTACATCACCCAAATAATAGTTTTCCTAGCAGAAACTTCCCCCTATTAATCAAGCCCAGCTCCTCCAGGAAAAAAAAAAAATATAGTTAGTTTTATAATTCTGTATTATTTACTTTCTTTTGGGGCAGTATCCAACATTTTCTGGTCCATGGTTCTCATGGTTCAAACTCGCATGATTCCCACAAAATCCCCATCATCCATCATCAGGTCATCGTCTTTATGAAGCGGATGTGATCTCCAATCCATCCAATCTCAAACCTTGTTGACCTTGAAGGGGGGGTTGATTAATCCGGTGTCGACATTAGTTCTGTGACTGTGAAGCGAATTCTTCAAGCAAAAGACAAACTTCAATACTTTGTAGCTCGAAGCCGATGCCGTGCCACAGACTCTTTGGCAAAGCGCTTTTTGCAACAAGGAACCAACGTCATGGTCCGTCATGGTTACGACCATATAACAGAATATAACATCTATAACTCCCTGCAATCATCCTGGAAACCTTGGACCATGGGACCATCCGAAGACCAAACAGGTGGTGGTGCCGTCCACACAACCATGTCAGTGACTCGGTGTGTGTCGACATACTATAACTATACGATATTATATGATTTAATTTGATAGATATATATGTGTGTGTTTGTGCCTGATAATATGATATTATATATAGTATATGCGATTATATGCAGCAAATTGCATTGTTCACATCAACTCATATCAATTCATCTCACATCAGCCCCTGATGCTTCCCAGACAGGCGGAATTGTCATGCTCTCCCTTGAAACGACCAGGCGTGGTGGACGAAGATGTGATGGTCCAATGGGCTGGTGGAATGCCAGGCACCGGCGGAAAGCCCAGGGGGTGGAAAGGGGGGGCGGAGGAAGAAGGGGCGGTTAGATGAAGGGTGTAGATGGTGTAGGTGACAGTTGGATGAAAGGGCCCTTGGAACAGTTGGAACAGCTGGATGAACAGCAGGAACTCCATCCAAACAGATGAAAGGCTTGGGGGTCTGGAAGGCAGTGGAACACCGCAGACTGGGTTTGGCGGGATGGTGATGATGGAACCTAGAAACGATCACTTCTATTTGGGCTGGAATTTGTTTGTTTGGAATACAGTGGTTTCAGAGGTTCGATGGCACTGACCCCAAGATGTCCTAGACAGATGGGGATCCATATAAACCACCGAACGTGGGGGGCCCTTGTGCCATCTCTCAATCCACTGTATTGTTTGGAACGACGGAACTGTCTTGGATGTGTCGACCCATGGCCGCCCATGGCCCATGCTGTTTCGTCGTCCTTTGTTCGGAAAGCGGCAGGTGTCTTGGACGTGTCCGGCCACATGGGTTTATTTCATTTTATGTCCAAGATGTTCCAAATATATAAATCTTAAAGAGTCCAGGCCTCCGTACAGTTATAGTCAAAGTGATGTTGGAATGTCTCATATTTATTATCAGAACCAGAGGCCCTGGGAGTGCTGATTGCTGTCTCTACTCTCCACTGGTTTCCCTGTGTTTCACATGTTGAGAGTGAACATGTATAGTTTAATGAAGTGAAACTACAAGGGTGCTTTGATATTAGGGTACTCTCCATGTCAGACGCGTCATATGTCCATGGTTGTGAGCGGTACTTTCTCAGCTTTGAGCCTTATTCATGACCTGATTCCAGGCACCAAGGTCGGATACATCATCGAGAGGAAGCCCGCAGGCCGCTCGGATTGGGCGTCCCCATGGCTATGAAGAACACCCCCCCAAACCGTGCAAGAACAAAAGAGGCACCACTCACTGATGTTTAAGGTTAGAGGGAGTGAGTAATGTAGACTGTTGATAAATCAAGTCCCATTTGGATTGTAAAATGTTTTATATATGAGAGGGTCTTATGAATCAACGGTCTATCTTAAGGCTCAACCAAAATCGAGATGCTGGCTGACTGGGCCGCAGCATTAGGTGTTTCACCTAGGTCTGGGCTGTACACTCTTGGAACACAACAGTTCCGGCTCCGGGCTGTACGCAGGAAGGTTTTCTTGTGGACGCGCTTTTCACACACCAAATCCAAGCTCTTGGGACATCTTACGTGGTTGGGACATGTCGCACAAGAGTTGAACCGCAAGCGCTGAGCCAATGAGTAATGTAGACTGTTGATAAATCAAGTCTCATTTGGATGGGCTCACTTGCGGTTCCTCGCACTCACCGGACCGCCCTTTACGTTGTAGTCTCATTTGGATGGTAAAATCTCGTATATATGGGAGGGGAGGTTGATGAATCAACGGTCTATCTTAAGGAACTCCAATCGAGATGCTGGCTGACTGGCCCACAACACCAGGTGTTTCACCTAGGTCTGGGTCTGTTACAACGCTCTTGGAACACAGTTCCGGCGGCTTACAGCCGTGGCTCTCCCAGGAAGGGTTTTTCTAATGAAACGCGGCCTTTCACATGGTTTTTGGAGATTTTTGGGTGCAGCATCCACCAAATCCAAGCTGTTTGGGTGCAGCTGTCCACGTGGTTGGGACATGTCGCACAAGAGTTGAAGCGCAAGCGTTGAGCCGTCCTTGAAGGGCTTCATAACGCTTGCTGAATCCTGCCAAGTTGGCAGATACCAATTGAAACGCATCGAAACATTGTATCATCGAATCAACTTGGCGAGGTTAGATGGAATGTTTGCATGCTCTCTTGAGGCAGCACCAACTACGAGGAAATCGCGACCTATGCGACTCGGCCCGGTGTTTTTTTTTCACATAAACGATACATGGATATGGTGCTTTGTGTTCAGGTTGCATAACCGACATATTCCAAGATCTCTTTGAAGTTCATGGACACGTGTTTTCATCGCCTTTCTACAACATGTGCATATATTCACAGCCATGAAGTCACCTATACCTTTCTTCTAAATCAAACCATCATCCTTCTATATTGCCACAGTCGAAGTTCACCCCTTGCTGCATTTTCTCGAACGTCGCTTCCCCAAGTTCGAGCCTCTCGAACGTCGCTTGTCCTGCCGATGAGGACAACATGCAGAACCCACAGTTGTTGGCCAAGCGCTACAGCGGCCACGAGTATTCCTACACGGACTCCATGGTCGCGCCAGGCAAGTATGACTACCGTTTGCTGTGCCGATCTCGTGATGGTGGCATTACTGTGACTTGTCAGTCGCGAGAGATGGTGGTGTAAAAAGGAGGGCGGAGGGGCGTAGAGGTGCAGGAGGGGCCTCTAACACAAAGGTGTTAACATATATTAAGAAGATGTATTGTATTGAATCGCTTAGTTAGACCCAGGTCTAGGGTCTCTAGCACTAAGATGTCAAGATCTGTTGAGTGCTTAGATGCGTTGAGTCCTCTTTGGAATTGAATAATCCATTCCCGACATGTTGGTGGTACTTGACCAGCTTGGATGGCATAATCAGAATGGGGTGAACTTCTCAGCGGTCTATTAAAGATGTTCTGCTCTGTTCTCCGGTTTGGCCACTCAGGTGTCCCTGGAGACGCACGTACCATGCATTCTGGTAGGCCGCCGAAGTTCTTCCCCGAAACCCGCTCTGGGACCGAGCTCCGTTGGGACCGTCTAAGCTCGTGTGTCCCAGATCGACCGAGCTTCCGAGGTCGAACCCTTCTGGGGTCATCCGTCGGTGTGTCGCTGGGTCCGAGTCGATTAAAAGAGGATCGGTTTTTTGGAGATGGTTCCAAGGCCTGCAACTGAAGCATCACATGGGATAGACCAAGGAGGATGGGTTTTTTTAGAGATGGTTCGAAGGGCCTGCAACTGAAGCAAGTATCTACTTGTCCCAGGGAATGGGATAGATGTGCAATAGACCCAAAGTCAACAATTACTGTTTTGTTCTTGTTTCCGCCAGGCTTCCTGTTGCCTACCCACTTGGAGTCGGGGGGAAGTGATAGTGATAGCATCTCTCCTTGCCCAACGGACCAAAACAAGGTTAGGACCACACCCGGAACCCCAAGCAGACCTGGAATGTGTCCAACTCAACTCAGGTGGTGGACCAGAAGGACATCATCGTCACCGAGCCGGCAGGCGAGGCACCCACCGGACATTTGGCGGACACGGAGAGGTAGAAACGACGCTCGGCCGGGGGGGGGAAGGTCCGGTTCAAAGGACGAGCCGTTGGGTGAATCGCCCCCATCATTGGTTTCGAAGAATGGGTTGAAACATGTTGAAACTCAGCCAAAGATGTTGATTTGACTTGCTAGTTCCCAAAGGAAGTCCGAACGATTCGATGTTCACCATGTGAACCATGGTGATGATGTTGCAGGTTTTTGTTGGCTCACCAGGTGCCCAATGACCATTCTCCACTGGCTTCATCGAGCGTGATAGCCAACCTTGCACCACCTGCAAGCTCATTATGGACCGCCCTTCGGATCAATGTGATTTGGTAGCTGCTTGAATTTTTAATTCAGGTTCCCCCCAACACATGGATTCTGTCCATTGGACCATCAGCTTGGCAACGACCGACCGACCAAGGGGGGCACCTACCAACCCCCACCCCTCGCGCCTTCCCCCACGCGCCTTCCCCTCGCGGCCGCCAGGCCTGGATTTGAAGTTGGCCTTCGCCCTGCTGGGTGCGGCGGTGGTCTTCAGTGGGGTCTATGGCTTCTTCCTCGATCCCGGAGCGCAGCCTTAGGACCGGGTCTCGACCCGCAGCCGGGCCTAGGGCCTAGGGCGAGCGCAGCCGGGCTGACTGACTGACTGACATGTGGCATGAGTAGCTGTAGTAGTAGAACGACCCATTTCGTTTGGGGAGAGGAGGTCTAACATGTTTACGATAGTTTTGACTTAGTACTGCTTGGGGCTTGGGGTATTGACCTTTCTCGGAATCCTAGCAAGGGTGATAGGTACACCACCTACTTCGCCGGCTGCTTGTCCTACTGTCCAGACGTTGAACCCCGGAAATTTTAGGGGTATCTAGTCATTGACTGTAGCTGCTGCTAGTCCTGTGAGGACTACTGGTGGAACAGAACAGTAAAGATCCTCCCAGCAGTGTTGTGCTACACACGTGGTTGCGAGGATGTTATTTACTTCCAGGATGCGTCGGAGAAAAATGAGCTCCAATTCAGAGTCTTCGGCAAGATATGCCCAATTGTCGCATTTCGAAACCATTTGAGCGACTGCTTTAGCAGTCCAAGCAATGCTGATTTTCATTTGCGTGTGCGAAAAGAGGCGGTCAGAGTCCGGGTGCTCCAGATGAGATGCCACATCCCACATCCGAAGGTGTCCTAGAAAACCTGTAAACAGTCGGTGAACAATGATCACTATTTGAGTGATGTCGGCCTGCAACCTAACCATCATCCATTGCTACAGGGAAAGGGATAGACCCAACATCTCACCATGATCACCAATGGAAATGGGACTTAGCCCAAGGGTTCCGCAGCTAGTTGGTTCTTCCAAGGTGAACGACTCAGTGGTCGCGGGTGCTTGGCCCAACCAAGTCTCACAAGTCGGTTCATGTCGCTGCGGGTGGTGGTGCCAACTTGGTGATCTTGGACTGAGATGGACTGAGGGGTGGCCCACAAACGTCACTTGGTGTGGCTTCGGAACCCAGCATGCCTAGACTCAGGACTCCCTTCACCACTGAGAACGGATCACGTCTTCCCTTCACGCGCGTCACGGCGTCCCACGCCCACGTTAGGTTGCGAGACCCTGGTGATTGGAGAGATGGTGATGTGACGCTCGACAAACATGGCGCAGGGCAGATGGCTACCTGCCATGCGGGTCAAAGCGGGTCAACAAGCAACAAGCAAACCAACCTTCCAACGTGGAATCTATTGTTCTTTTGAAATTCACAACCGTCAATCCGTGGAGAAGAGTGCTAGTTAGTTTTGAAGCAGGCACGTTTATTTAACCATGTTTGACCATTTACATATTTGACCCACACCATGCCACACCTTTCCCCCAAAAGAAAATGGTTCAATGGGGTTGCTTTTCCGGTGCGATCTTCAGAGGAGATATATAGTTAGCAGTTAGCATGGTGAGGTACTGGTACTTTTCATAGAGCTTGAGAGGTTGAACGGAGCTTGAGAGGTGTGGCCCTGTCAAAAGCTTTGGCTTTAATCATCCATAGCTTGGGGCCACTTTGCAATGCTGAGCGTTCCATGTCGGATTCGAGCCCTTCGAAGCTTGCGCGTAATCATCCAGATCTTAAATTCGAGAAGTAAACCTCGTGGTTGACTGACTTGGTGCCAAGTCGTAGGTACGAAAGGTAGCCAAGTCCCTTCCGCAGAGCAAGATTTCTCCAAGTGCTATTTGGTGGAAGACTTCGGGAACCACAATACTGTAGGTATAACTGTATAACCATGTCTTTGCTCATGGAAGGGTGTGTTTATTTCCATCCCCACGCCGGACCATGTACGGACTAGTGACACCTACATTTACCCCATTTATGACCCAAATGTGAGTAACTATTCCATACATCATGGATGGTTTGGAATCAGTCGGATGACTCTTCCCTCATCCATGGCAGGTGTGCCGAGATATCAATGTCCTGGCCATTTCCTCACCTGGCTCCAGGCACTGCGGTCCAATGTGACATGGTGAAACCAGAGCTTCCTGGAACCCAAGTGTTCAGTTCCTTTTGCTGGAAATATATTAAATTTTGCTATACTATACTGCGTATACTGTATCTTGGAGTTACCTGCATCTTTGCCATTTACAGTGGCATCCGTTGTTTCTGCTGGATTGAAAAAGCAGAGCAGTGCCTGGCCAGGTTCCCGGGAAGGGTGAAGAAAAGCGGTTCCTTGGATTGCAGCGTCGAGCAACTGATAGAGAAGATGAAGATCAACAGATGAAGCGCTTGCTTCAACGCCGTCAACGCCAGGGTTCTTCAAGCAGGATATGCGTCCCTTCTTCTCGTTAGGTCCTAGATGGTCCACCCCTAGGTCATGGCCGGCCCTATCTCCAGACTCAGATCCTCAAACCTCTTGGCAACTTGGTTTTTTTTTTCCAGCTGTTTGGGCATCCCATCGAACACTCACCGTGCTTGGAAACGTTCGGGGCGCAAGCATTGGCCTACACCAACCCCTCCGGTCGAGTGGTGGAGCTGAGTTTCTCTACCAGGCTCTATCAGGACAAGGATGGCTGAGCTGAGTGTGTATAATTGTTGTTTTCCGATGCTCCTGGGCAGGACATGTGGCTGGAGAAGGGCCCCCCGACAGGAGAAGAAGACCCCCTGCATCATCACGCGTGATGCAACATCCCCGATTTGTTCCTTGTTGCACGCGTCATGCGTGTAAATCCTTGTTGATTGATGTATGGGACTTGCATGTGTACCCTTACAACTGCCCCCACTGTCACAGTGTGTCCAATGAGTTAGGGGAACTGTGCTTGCTGTTGATTCTTTGATGGTCCAGCTGAGTTAGGGGTTAGGGGAAGGCTGAGCTGCCCATGTGCCAAGCTGAAGAGCTTCAGGGACGTCTACTATGAGATGATTCCGGCCGACGACGACCACGAAACGTATCGCCCTGAGACGGGCGGCGAAACGGATTCCGACGGTTTCCCCGGCAACGGTGGAGTTCCCAAGATGTACCCAGCCTATACAGTTCAAGGATGTCATTTTACTGAAGTTGACTATTGAAAAAACGATCAAAAACTCTATGTCAATGACGGTAAAGGACCAGGGTTTACTCTGTCTTTGGGCTCGTTCCGTAAGAAACGTGTGCTTTGATCGAGCTGAGCCTGGGACAGGCGCTGAGAATTCTCGCTGAGGCTGAAATGGACCCGTTCCTCCGATGGCTCACTTTTTGAATCGATGACTCAGTGGCTTTGGCTTGAAGCTGGGGTGAAGTCCAATAGTGGGAGCACCATTGGCACAGACTTGGTCAAATTACAGTATATCAAATTATCACAACTGGATCCCGAGCATTCCAGAAATTCTCGCTTGGTGAGACACGGATGGTGTTTTTGTCCTGCTAACAGCTCGACAAAGAGACAGCCACACTTCTTGGCAGCTAAGGCAGCTGCCCAAAGAGCTCTTTGTATTGGCGCTGCTTAAAACACAAGCAGCTCGCCACCGGATGAAACAGGCTTCCGCCGGATCTAGACTCAAGAAAAGTCAGGTTGAAATGCTCCCAGTGAGCACCTGACCAACACAATGGCTTTGGGATCCGACGCAGATCCCAATTTGATATATCGTTGCCTTGGCAATGCCCGTTGTTCATCGTGATGCAAGGTGGGCAAAGCATGAGAATCATGGAGGAATATGGATTCCAATCCTTGTGTGATGGCCAGTGATGGCTCCCAGCTCGATAGAAACCATTTACACTCCATGTCAGAAGCCGAATCACACTGCCCTGCATCATCACCATACACACGGACGGCGATAGCCCAAGGTGCCATCCCTCTTGTTGGATTCTCTTGTGCGCTGAGTGTGACCCACAGGAAGGTCTCACGTAGGGCTTCATCCCAGTCTAACCAACAGATTTAGTGGCACAAATCAGTCAGGGTTGGAGGGGTGGCAGAAAAGAATCCCAGGGTGGCCGCCTGACTTGAAACATGTTAAACCAAAGGTTAATCAAGATGCTGGGTTAATCGAGTGCTCTTGAATCTCTTGAACCAGCCGGGACTGCTCCCCACGACGCTGGGGCATCCAATGTGCGTTGCTGCAGCCTCAGGAGATGGTGCATGGGAATCTGCACTGGGCACAAGTACAAAGATCCATAGGCGCCGGCGCAGACCTCTTCCGGTTGGCAGACCGGGTTCATGAACGCGGCCCCGGTGAAGTCAACGACTTATACTGCACAACGACTTATACTGCACTTCGCCCAGTATTTTCATGTACTTCTCCCATTTTCGTTCCAAGAGCAAAAAATAACACCTCCATCATGGCCAGTGGTCGTTGTGGTCGCAAAGATGAATGACGCGTGTCAGGTGTTGCGGAAAGGATGGACAAACTCTCGCCTGACAATGTGGAGCAGTTCTACAATGTGCTGCGCGCGTGGCGTGGCAGGAGAGTTCTAGGCCTGTTTTTGTTTAAAGTGTTGGAATATTTTGCGACTGCCTAAAGTAATTTGTTCCATTGTTCTGGTCCTCCCTGTCATACCTTCTCGTGGAATTGGTTTTGATGCCAGAAGACGAAGAGTACAAAGGGTGACCTGAATTCTTTAGGAAAGACAGGAAAGAGTAAGAGGCAGGGTCGATTTGTGGATTCTTTCATATTCTTTCGCCGAATATCCAAGCTGTAGGCAAGATTGACTTTATCAGAGCGTCGTGGGTTCATAGTCAAGAACGGCTCAACGGAGGTAGGCTATGCAAGCGACCCTTGCAAGCCCGGGTAGCCTCACTAGGATATGACTCATCCTTTGGAAGTTCATGATTGAACACCTGCATGTTCTACCCCAAAAGAAGCCGCATGTTCTGCATGATTCCACCGCATCCCACTTCACCACCACGTCCCGGGCACGACTGTGACCGGGCACGGTTGTTTTCACCGAGGCTGGCACGGCAAGAGGTGGTCTTACAGCCGCAGTATCATGAACAGCTGGAGCGATCGAACGGGGGGGCCATGGGAGTTCGAGCACCCCCGGAATGGGATCGCTGGAGGGAGCCATTGGTCTAACAATGTCTAACATGTTGGTGAGTCTCAGACTCACTGTTTCAAGACCAGTGCCCATGGCAAGATAGGATTTTGATGGATGTTTAGTTTTGATTTCGGTGTCCGTTTTCAGTGTTTTTTCGATGTTTTTCCTGCATGAGGGAACATCATGGAGCCCATGATGTTCCCATGGGAGACCGGCAGTGATCACCACGTGTTGTTGGACCGCAGAGCCGAGTTCGAGACTCCCTGAGGTTTCGTCCTCATGAGTAGCATGGCCCCCGAGCTTGGAGGAAAACTCAACATCCGAAGACCAAAGAGGTGGTGCCATCCACTTCCATGATTTCACGGTCGGTGGATCTGATGATCAGGGCGGGCCAAAAAAAAAGGAATGAGTCCTGAGTCAAGAAGAGCCTCAGTTCTGGTGGCTTCTACTCCTGCCTAAGCTCCAAACAACCTCAAACAGTCTGGCAGGTCCCCTCAAAACCTTAGGGAGGCCAGAGATATTGGATCCCTACCGTAGATGTGAATCTCCGACCTTTCCTCAGATCTTATGAGGCGAGGATCGAATGCTTGAGATCTGGGATCCTACCGCCCAGCGGTCATGTCCCGCTTTCCGCCCAAGTTGC